TGCACTGAATTCCCGTATGATGGGAAAAAAAAACAAACCCACAAGTGTCTCGTTCTAACCTGAATATTTTGTCTTATTTTCCAAACACACCCCCAAATATAAAACATTGTATTTTCCTCCTTTTTAGGTCTTCCTGTTTTCCACACACAGCAGATGTCTGATGGCTGAATGGTCTAGGGATTTTACTCTGAGTTTTCCTGTTTCTTCATTTTCTTTTTCTATGCTACAGTATTTTTTCTACTTTGCTGTGATATTAGAAACATTGCTAGGGGAAAAAAAAGCACAAACCTAAAATGTAACTCCCAACACCCAGATGCTTTGAAAAGCTTTCAAGTTTTGCAGAACTGGATTAGCAAAGAAAGGAAAAAATAAACCTACATCATTTATTTCACTTCACCTAGTAGCTAAAAGGAAAAGGTGCCGGAAAGGGGAAAAGCAGCACTTCAGAGATGTGAAATTAAAAGAAAGTTTCTGAAAAATTAAAAAGATAAAGTTCCTCTTTGATGTTTAAAACAAATTCCGAGCTATTTTGTGCATGTTTTCTCCCAGTTCTGCACTGCACCTGGAGTGACGGGGTGCTGGGTCTGGGCGGGCTTTGCTCCCCTCTTGCCGCTGCCGAGGGTGCGAGTGGTGGCCTGGGTACCCCCACCCGTGGCCGGGGCCCCCCGGGAGGAAGCCTTTGGTACGGAGCGAGCCCCCCGAGCCCCGGCAGCCCCCGCCGCAGCGCAGCCCAGGAGCGGCGGGGGGGAGAGGCAGGGCTGCGGGCAGGACCCGGCCCGGCAGGAGATGCGGCCGTCGCGCTGCCCTGTCTGCGGGCGGTGGCTTCGCTGGCCTCATCCCCTGCACAAGGAACGTTTCATAAAAAACCTCGGGCTTGACAGCCTACTGATACTGTAGTTTTAAATATACATGTTTTAGATCCCGAGATTTACTTTTGACAGGTACAAGAGAGACAAGCTATAAATGCTGGGCTGGAAAGTCATTCGCATTAGTGCTCAAACAAAGGGCTGCAAGCTGCACTGCTTGCTTTTAATTAAAAGCTTTCCTGATTTTACAGCATGGGCAGAACCAGAACCAATAACTTCGTTCCATGCTGCCCGTACCCATTGACGAGCCAGCGGAGCAACAGGCCACGGTACCACCACGTCACACCAGCTCCTCAGCTGTGAAGGGCCAGGGCCAGGCTGGCCCCCGTGGCCCCCCCCAGCCTGGTGCCAAGGGGCAGCAAGCTGGCACCCAGGGGGATGATGCAGCTCCCCAGTGACAGCAGGACCGGAGGAGGGTGCTACAAAACGAGCTGCTGTCTTGCACGGAGAGCTCTTGCAGGGGGTTTGGCCAAGGGGGACGCGGGGACCACCATGCCACCAGCTCCCTCCCCCCCAGCCAGGCCACCGCTCGCTGGTGCTGGGGGCGTCGGCAGGCGCATCGCGATGGGAGTGTTGGGCTTTGGACAAACTAATTGTGTTGCAAGGAGTGGAGCGAAGCTTTTAGATTTCAGAGCCAACGTGTGGCATCTTTATTAATGTGCCTACTTGAGTTCCCTGGGACGCAATGTTTTCTCCTCACCCTGGCCATCCATCTGAACTGATAATAGGACTATTAATCCATTTTGTTGACAGCATTCCCAGACCTCCAGTGAGGCTGGAGATGGGGAGGGGTGGGGCTGCAATCGATGCCTGTTTTGCTCCAAAGGGATCCCGTCACAGCCTCTGGCAAACTGAGCATCAGCTGGGGGCGAAAGGATGGAGCCTTAAACCGAGGTTAGAGGTGGCGTGCAGCTGGCCAGCTGTGGGCTGGCTTCTGCTGGGTCACCTGGAGAGCATCCTGCAGAAAGCCACTGAGGTACGAGATGTTCTGCAGAAGCCAAACCTGCAGGAGACCTTGTGCTCCAGGGCACGGCACACTGTGCAGGGACACCAGCACTGGGGTTATACACCGTGGAACTGCTCAGCAGCCTCGTACCAGGTGTTTAACTTGCCTCTAATCCTCCTCCATACCTACTCGGGCATGAAGTTTCCCTGATTTCAGGGCCTTTCCAGCCCTGCTCGGCTACAAGGTGCCTGGCACAGCATCCATCCTGTCAGTGATTTCCTTTACAGCAGCAGAAATACATATACGCAATAAATAAAAAATGCAGGACTTTCATATGTGTGAAATACGAAGAAACATTTCAGTGGAAAAAGAGCTGGAAAACGAGGCGCGTCCCTGTCCAGCTTTTGCTCCTCTGCGCATCCCCTGCCAGTGGCTCATCCTAGGCGCCTTTATATTCAGACTGATCCTGTCTGGTTTTAAATATCTCAAGCCACAGAACTTTCTCCCTCCAGGGAACCACGTCGCAGGCTCATAATTTTCGCTGTCAGCAGAGGGGATTTTTTCCCCTGTGACATTCAACCTAAATGCTCCATTTCTTCATTTCCTGTCATCCCTTCTGGTGATGCCCCTTGTACTCTATTAAATAATTCCTTCCCTCCCTCTCTATTTACACCAGCCAGATCTGTAAGGCTCTTAGTTTGTCTCCCCATGGAAAGCTCTTAACCAAGCAATATATATATTTAAGCCTTTTAATCTTCCTTCAGAAATCAGTCTCTCCGTGCCTTTGATCATTCGAGTGGCTTCTCTCTGAACCGCCGCCAGCGTGTCTGCGCCGAGGGAGCCCCGCGCTCTGGCTCCGGCCACACCACGGCCTCCCAGCACCATCCCCGGACACCAGCGGCTGATGCCCCCCTGCTGCCCTCGGGCACAGCAGCCTCCCGGGTCCCCTCGCTGTCCCCCTCGCCCGAGGCCTTTCACTGGTGCCGCCGGCTTGGCTCTGCCACCGTTGCCCCTTCTGCTGTTGGCTCCTACTTGCATTTGCCTCCCGGCCACACTCGCTCACGTTTGCCCAAGGCCCAGCTCCTTTGGCTGTTTCCTGCCCATGTTTCTAATCTCACTAGGCCCTTTTTGTGTTAATTTTCTACGCTTGCTGGAGCTCACAGCACCTCCCAATATAGCATCATCTGCCAAATTCATTTAATGTGCAGTTTACTCCCTCTTTCCAGGTCATTAATGAGGGTATTAAATGAGAGCAGACCTAACCTAGATCCCTGCAGTACCCCCATAAACACCTCTCCCTGTTTCTAATTACCCTTTGTTTATGATCCTTCAGCCAGGTTTTCAATCCACATCGGCGCAGTTCAAGTCCTCGGAATTAATTTTGCCAGGGAAGGCTTCCCGCACGTGGGGAGCAAAAGGTTTGCCCACTTGCAACCTGCCGCCTCCCCGGGTCCCACCCCTGCTCCCCCACGGGTCACGGTGACCCACGCCGCGGCGAGGGGAAGGAACCACCTGCCAAAGGTTTTTCTCTCCGCCCGATTGTGCTCCCACGCCTCCGGGACACGGCAGCCGGGAGCGGCGGGGGCCCGGCGTCCCTCCCGCCTCCCCCGGCGAGTAACGGGGAATGCGCTCGGGCGTCCCGGGGGGGGACGGTGTCCCTTGAGGGGGGGTGGTGTCCCTGCCGCCCCCCGCGGGCCCGGCCAGCCGCGGGGCTGGCCCCTGGACACGCCGTTTCCCCCGCGCGGGGTCCCGCCGTGGGCCGGGCGGGTTCCCCGGTTCCCACCGTGCGGCGGTTCCCGCCTCCCCGCGGCGGCCGCTAGATGGCGCCCTTGTGCCTGGGAAGGCGCGGCGGGGCCCGACGGCGCGGCCGGGACCGGGGCGGGGGGGCTGGAACCGGAGGGTGGGGGGGAGCCGGGACCAGGGGTGCTGCTGAACCAGCCAGGCGTCGGTTCCCGCTGCCCACCGCCCCGACGGTGGTCGCTCCGTCCCGGCACCCCGTCCCGCTGCCTTCCCCGCCACCGCGCATCGACCGGCGGGGCTCCCGGGGCGGTTTGCCACCGGCTCCTCTCTTTAACCTCCGGGCCTGGGAGGGGGTGGGGAAACGGCGAAAGGCTCCGAGCCCAGCGCCCCGCCTGCACCGGCCGGCAGCGCGGCCGATTCCCGCCGGGGGCAGCACCGCCGCGGCGCCCGAGTCACGGTGACACCTCCCGGGTGACACCCCCCGGTGCCCCTTTTTGCTCAGAGCCCGGGAACCGGTGGGCCGCGCGCGGAGACCCGAGGTAAGGCACCGGCACACGGACGAGGGAAGGTTTATTTCGGTTTTTTTTTTTTTTTTTTTTTTTTTTTTTTTTTTTTTAAGAGACGACCGTACCGCGGTGCTTTCCCCGGTGATGAGCAGGGAGCAGCGAGCGCTGCCGCGGCTGGAGCCGCCCGGGCGGGCCTGGCGGTGCCGCGTCCCACGCCGGATCGCGGGGGACCCTGCCCAGCGGGGCGCGGGGCGGTGCAGCCGGAGCGGGGCGTCCTCACTCCTGCCCGGGAGCGAAAGCGACTGAACGGGCCTGGGGGGCGCCCGGCGCGGACCCGGTGGCCACCCCTGCCCACCCCGGTGCCTGCAGGGACCCGTCGCCTTCCGCGCGCCCGCGGCGCTGAAGAACGAAGCGCCGGTGCTCCCGCACCTCCCGGGCACCGGGGCGGGCTGGGCGCGGCGTGGGGCCAAGCATCTTCCCGGCGCGGCGGCGCCAACCCCGCGCCCCTCCGCGCCGCTCCGCTCCCGGCCGCGCCGCTCCGCGGGCCCCGCCCCCGGCCCCGCCCCCGCCGGCCGGCAGCGCGGCTGGGCGCGGCCCCATTGGCGGCGGCGCGGCGCGCCGGTCCCGCCCCCGAGAGCCCATTGGCTGCAGCTCCCCGCCGCCCCGCCCGCCCCCGCGCCGCCCGCCGGCGCTCCGGACTGCGGGCAGTGGCGTGCGGCCGCCGCAGCGAGCGCCGGCGGGAGCGGGCTCGGCTCGGCTCGGCTCGGCTCGGCTCGGCTCGGCTCGGCATCCCGCTCCGGCTCCCGCTCCCGCTCCCGCACAATATGCCCGGCCCATCCGCGGCACCGCCAGCTCGGAACGCCTGAGCGGGCGGTGTTGGCGTGGGCGCGGGAGGGAGGGAGGGAGGGAGGGAGGAGGGCGGGGGGGGTGGTGGGGGGGAACCGCGGCGGCTCCGGTGCTCGCAGCCGCCCTCCCGCCGCCGGGGCATCCCGGCGGGCGCTGCCCCCCCCATGAGGGCGGCGGGCCCCTGAGGCGGGCGGCTGGCGGCCGTCGGGGCGCGGCGGCCGGTGGCGGCGATGGGGGCTCTCCCGGCGCTGCTGGGGGCCGCCTTGCTGTGGGCCGGCGCCGGGGCCCTCGTCAACCTCAAGTACTCGGTGGAGGAGGAGCAGCGGGCCGGCACGGTGATCGCCAACGTCGCCAAGGACGCCCGGGACGCCGGTTTCGTGCTGGACCCCCGGCAGCCCACCGCTTTCCGGGTGGTCTCCAACTCGGCCCCACACCTGGTGGACATCAGCCCCGGGTCGGGGCTGCTGGTGACCAAGCAGAAGATCGACCGGGACCTGCTGTGCCGGCAGAGCCCCAAGTGCGTCATCTCGCTGGAGGTGATGTCCAGCTCCATGGAGATCTGCGTGATCAAGCTGGAGATCAAGGACCTCAACGACAACGCGCCCAGCTTCCCCACCGACCAGATCGAGCTGGAGATCTCGGAGACGGCCAGCCCCGGCACTCGGGTGCCGCTTGAGAGTGCCTACGACCCAGACTCGGGCAGCTTTGGTGTACAGAGCTACGAGATCACCCCCAATGACCTCTTTGGGCTGGAGACCAAGACGCGGGGCGACGGGTCCCGCTTTGCCGAGCTGGTGGTGGAGAAGAGCCTGGACCGCGAGACCCAGTCCCACTACAGCTACGTGATCACGGCGCTGGACGGTGGTGACCCGCCCAACTTCGGCACGGTGGAGCTCAGCATACGCGTCATCGACTCCAACGACAACAACCCGCTCTTCGAGGAGCCGGCTTACACCGTCAGCGTGCCTGAAAACGCCCCGCCGGGAACGCCGGTCATCCGCCTCAACGCCTCTGACCCAGACGAGGGCACCAACGGCCAGGTCCTCTACTCCTTCCACAGCTACGTCTCCGAGCGGGCCCGGGAGCTCTTCCAGATCGACCCCCAGAGCGGCCTTATCACAGTGAGCGGTGCCATCGACTACGAGGAGGGTCATGTCTACGAGCTGGACGTGCAGGCCAAGGACTTGGGGCCTAACTCCATCCCTGCCCATTGCAAAGTGACCATCAGCGTCCAGGATGCCAACGACAACCCGCCCCTCATCAACCTGCTCTCCGTCAACAGTGAGCTGGTGGAGGTGAGCGAGAACGCCCCGCCGGGGTACGTCATCGCCCTGGTGCGGGTCTCGGACCGCGACTCCGGCGCCAACGGGCGGGTGCAATGCAAACTCCTGGGCAACGTGCCTTTTCGGCTCCAGGAGTACGAGAGCTTCTCCACCATCCTGGTGGACGGGCGGCTGGACCGGGAGCAGAGGGACCAGTACAACCTCACCATCCAGGCCAAGGACAATGGCGTCCCCTCCCTGCAGGCCACCAAGTCCTTCACCGTGAAGATCACCGATGAGAATGACAACCATCCCCACTTCTCCAAGCCCTATTACCAGGTCATCGTGCAGGAGAACAACACCCCCGGGGCCTACCTCCTCTCAGTCTCGGCCAGGGACCCTGACTTGGGCCTCAATGGCAGTGTCTCCTACCAGATCGTGCCCTCCCAAGTCAGGGACATGCCTGTCTTCACCTATGTCTCCATCAACCCCAACTCGGGAGATATCTATGCCTTGAGGTCCTTCAATCATGAACAGACGAAGGCCTTTGAGTTCAAGGTCTTGGCCAAAGACGGGGGTAATCCCTCTCTGCAGAGCAACGCCACCGTCAGGGTCATCGTCCTGGACGTCAACGACAACACCCCTGTGATCACGGCCCCACCGCTGGTCAACGGGACCGCAGAGGTCTACATCCCCAGGAACGCGGGGGTCGGCTACTTGGTGACGGTGGTCAAGGCAGACGACTATGACGAGGGTGAAAATGGCAGACTTTCCTACGAAATGGTGGAAGGAGACAGAGGGTTTTTTGAGATAGATCAGGTCAATGGAGAGATAAGGACCACCAGAGCCTTTGGGGAGAACGCAAAGACAGCCTACGAGCTGATCGTGGTGGCTCACGACCATGGAAAAACATCTCTCTCAGCTTCTGCCTTGATTTTGATATACCTGTCTCCAGCCCTGGATGCCCAGGAGTCCATAGGATCTGTTAACCTCTCCCTGATTTTCATTATTGCCCTGGGGTCTATCGCAGCCATTCTTTTTGTCACCATGATCTTCGTGGCAGTCAAGTGCAAAAGGGATAACAAGGAAATCAGGACCTACAACTGCAGGTAAAGGCATCTTTGTTTCTGCGCACCCGCCGGGTCTGCTGCTGTGATTTTTGCCGTCACAGTTACTTTTCCATTTGCTGCCGTATACTTGGGGTGGGGGGTGGGGGTGGTGTTAAATAGGAACAAAAGTGAGGTTCACGTCCCTCTTAAGGGAATTTCCTGCGAAGCTGTAAAAAATTCCTCTCCGGGAGAAGCACAGAAATCTGTGCCGAGTAACGCATCGACTTAATCGTGCAGCTTGACAATCTGTTGCAGCATCCCTGATTTTACGCGCTCCGTCGCAGGAAAGGGGGGAGAACAGTTTCGCAGCGGCCTGGCTGGTTCCCGTGGGCAGCCCCCCCCCTTGTCCCCAGCGCGGCTCCCCGGTGTTTACGAGGGGGGAAAGCCCTCCCCCCCCCCCCAAGCCCACCGCAGCGTCCCCCCCTCAGCAGACGGGGCGAGCGGCCGCGGCGGCACCCGTAAGCCCCCCGCTCGCCGTTCAAAAGCGCTATTGTGCGCCCGATGCGGCTCCTCGCCACGGCTGGCGGCGGGGCCAACCGGATAAAATAGCGGTAAAAAAATCACCCGGTTCAACCCCAGCGAGCGGCTCGGGCACCCGGCACGGCCGGTCGGGCCGGGAGCGAGGGGGCGAGGGAGGATTTTTGCAGCGCTGCGTTATTTTGCCCTGGCTGGAGGCGTGCTCCCGGGTCCGAAATGCCGGAGGGGAGGTCAGCCCCGCGCCCGGAGCTGCTGAAAGGCTGATAGGGGAAATCCAGTCCCCTGAATATGTAACAGCCCCGCGATTATTGTCTCTCTTTTACTATTCTCTGTGTTACACAAGTTAGGAGACAAATGCTAACCACACATGAATATCAATCAGATGCCATAAAAGAGCAGCTGCAATGCCTCATAAATGGTTTAATCCTGTTACTAGTGAAATAGCCATGACTTCTTCATTCCTTCGGCACCGAGTCGTTTCAGAGGGGAGGGATGGAAATTAATTTTGCTCTACCTTGGAAACGCACGCTCGCCCCCGGCAATTCTGTGGCGCAGAGGGATGTGCAGTCTTTAAAGTTTTATTTACGCAGAAATAATGCTGGAGAGTTTGGGTTTTATACCCCGTTTTCACAGCGTAAAGTGCGTTTATAAGCCTTTTTGCTCGATGGGGGAAAAATCATCTGCAAATAAAGGTCGGTCTGTGCTGTATTATGGGATGTCTAGCTTCCAAGTGAAAGCTCATACACCAGATTTCTTGCCAGCTCGGCCCATTAAAAGAGAAGAGGACCTGAATGGATAAAAACATGTTGTGGTGGTGCCCCTAGCAGCTTCACACATATGTATAAGCCCTGGGTTTACTGTGACGGCTTAGGGATTAATGAAGTGCAGTTTAATTAAATAATTGGTCAATAGAGAAAGGACAGCAAAATGAATGCCTGCAGGAAATAATTGCGCTCTCCCATTGCCAAACTTAAACATTTAGGTAAACAAAACAATTAAAGCTTCATCGAGCATTGTTAGACGAGTCAGCAGCATATAGATTGTTGGCACAACAGAAATCCCTGCCTTCCCCTGATTTATTTGCACGCTCAGGGGGGTGCACGGGCTGCTATCAGTGTGCATCTGAGCAGGAGAAGGCAGCTGCAGAGGTAGGGCAGCGCCAGGTAGGCTCGGCAGCGGCTGTGACCGGGGGGCACCCCCTCCCCACGCTGGGCGCGCGCCTTTAGGCTTTGCAGTGCCTTGTTTTAGATGTTCTGGAGAGTTTTCATAGCATCTGTTAATTTATGAGGCACATAAGGTTATATGAGAGCTGTTCGACTTGGTGGCGTTTTCATGCTCAGGCAATTAGCTTTCTGGAACAAGAATATTTGTCCAATATTTGCCTTTCTAGATAAACCGTATTATTTATTCATCCCATTATTTCTGTCGCAGCTATTGGATTTTTTTTTTCTTTTTTTTTTTTTTTTAATGCTGTTACCATAAGAAGAAGAGGAGCAAAGTCCTGACTCTCAAATGTGTATTTCTGACTGTGGTGTAGCATATGATGTGCTTCCCTGGGAAATACTGAGCTGCCCAGTGCTATGCATGTACAAATTCATGTGTGGGGCATTGTCTGGGGCTGCGTTGCTCCCTATGGAAAGAGGAGCCACAGCCACTCTGAGCATCCCTAGTTAATGTAAGATGCAGTCATATTTGTCATTATTTGCTTGAGTGGTGTTTTACGGTAACTTTTTTCCTCTGGTGTTTTGCAGAAGGCAAGGCAAACAAAGCACTTCATCAGTTGATTCTTTTGGCAGGTGGGAAGCAAAGAGGGAAAGAAAGGCAGAGAAATAGAAGCTTGCAGTTAAAAAAAAAAAAAAAAAAAAAAAAAGTATCATTTCTCTTTGCAAAACACAGTTCTTGTTCTCCAGTTTGTAGAATGCGAAAGTATTTCCCAGCAGAAGGGGGTGTGCTTGTCAGGGTGGGGGGTGTGAGGGAGGAATAGGATATGGTTGGAAAAAAGATTTCAGGTTATCAGGTATTATCAGGAGATAGTCAAAACACCAGCAATTTGGATAAAGCATTAATAAACAAACAGCCTTTGGAGTGTGAGAGAATGGAGCTTGCCAGCTAGGACTGCTTCTGGGTCTGCTTTTTTTACTGCTGTGGAAAATGAACTGGGAAAAAAATCTGCTATTCATTTTGAATTTTCATTATGGGGACCAAATTAAGTCACTTTTAAAATCCTTATTATGCATGGAAATGAATGCAGGTACCCTTTTCAGTTTGTTTGTGGATTTTAACATCTCCATTTTTCTCTTCTGCAGGCTGGACTTTACTCCTAGTAACTAAATATCAGCAATTACAAACACTAGAAAAAAACAGAGGCGCTCTTCCTTCCCATTATTTTTCACATTTGACCTGAAAGCATTATACATATGAAAATAAGCTAAAGACCGTGTCGTGCCACCAGACCCAAAACATGACGTAATGTGCATGACTAAGAAGCCTACATGGAGCTGGGGGCCAAGCCCTCCGGGTTTCTGCCTGTTATTTAGCGGGGCAGGGTTCGGGATGCTCTCAGCTACTCATTTTCATTCTGTCCCCCAGAATTGCAGAATACTCCTACGGGCATCAAAAGAAATCAAGCAAGAAGAAGAAAATCAGCAAGAACGATATCCGCCTGGTACCGCGGGATGTGGAAGAGACGGATAAAATGAACGTTGTGAGCTGCTCCTCTCTCACTTCATCCCTCAACTACTTCGACTACCACCAGCAGACCCTGCCGCTGGGCTGCCGCCGCTCCGAAAGCACCTTCCTCAACGTGGAGAGCCAGAACAACAGGAACGCCGGCTCCAACCACATTTACCATCACACCTTCACGGGGCAGAGCCCCCAGCAGCCCGACCTCATCATCAACGGGATGCCGCTGCCGGAGGTGAGTGCGGGCGGGCAGCCCGGGTTTGCGGGGGTCTGTTGGCCTGAGCGCTGTCGGAACGAGGTGCTGAGCGAGCGGGCAGCGGTGGGTTTGGTGTGTTGGACACCCGCGGGGTGAGGGAGCGATGGAGGGTGGGGTGGGGGAGAGCGGCGGGCACCCGCCTGGCAGGTTGTGGGGCGGCCCCGAGATGTGGTTGGGGGTGGATGTTTCACCCCCAGGCCCTGCAGAGACCCTCTGAAATGCCCCGGCGGGGATGCTGGCGTGGGTAGGCCGGGCCAGGCTTGCCTCCGTGCTGCCGGCGGGCTGGACGTGGCCGCTTTGCGAGCGGGTTTTGAGTGCGGGGGTGCTCAAGGGGAGGAGGCACCCGTTGCCTTCAGAGGAGTTTTTTTAAAGGTTGGCGAAAGTGCTGTTGGCGGCTGTTGCTCCGCGGGCAGCGGGTTGTGCTGGGGGTGCAGGCAGGGCAGGGTGTCCCGGTGTGACCGCCTGCACGCCGGGCCCGGGGCCGTCCCCTCGCTGTGCCGGAGAGCGTGGGAGGGATGCGCAGTACCTGCCGAGGGCAGGGGAAGGGGCTGCTCCCATCCACGCCATCCTCATCAGATTCTTCTAATTCATCGGCTTTCCTGTGCATCACAGGCATCATTTAATGTTGCTTGTTTGTCTCTCTTTGAATTATTGTTTGGTATTAAGCAAAACAATCAAAGGTTTGTCATGTTTCCTGCTTTGAACAGAAATAACAAAGCTGAAAAAGCAGCTGAAATATTTATGGCTTGCTCTGTTTTGCGTTCAGTGTGCTGGTGTAAATGCAAAATGATGCTGCTGAAGACAGTGGAGTTGCTTCAGATTTAGACTTGTGCTATGGAGAGCAGAGCCCGGCCCTCTGCGAGAGAGAGTCTGCAGGGCTGCTGGAGGGGACTGGTGCCGGCGGGCCTGATCCTGCAGCGTTTGTATTGGCAAAATGCTCGTTGAACCCTGGTGTTTAACCTCTGCTAAGGATAGAGAACCAGCTCCTGAGAGGTCACGTCCTGGTGTCGGCCCAGTTTTGGGGCGCTCCCAGCCCAACTGCCGGTGGCTCAAAGCAGAGGCGCAACTTTTAATGACCCGACGGTTGGGAGGGGGGGTGTCGGGGTCTCCGTGATAGATTGTGGGCACCTAACCTGCTCCTGCCCAGCCTGCGTTTCGAGCCCCTCTGGCCCTGGCGCTGGTCCAGAGAATTAAAGCTCAATTTAACTTCTGGTGTTGGTATAAAGGCTGTAACAGAGTTTCTTAGCAATAACGGAATGGAAATGACCTGGATATAAGCTCTCATATTCTACTTGCGCGTATCCAGTGGGCTCTGCCCCTCCCAAATGCCCCGATGGGGAGAGGCAGGGACTTTGCATCCGAGTCTGGGTCAGAGCAATTTGAGATAAGCCTGTCTCTGGTTAAATAAGGCAAAAGAGCTGCTACCAAAGCCACCTGCTCCTTGCACTGTGCCTGGGCAGGCTGGGAGTGGGGAACATCACCTATCATGTATTGGGGGTTCCCCATCGATGCTCAGATTTGCCTGTGCTATTTGCTGAGTACCAGCTGGGGCTCAGGGTGCCCAGCTGCCTGCAGGGGTGCATCCCAAGGTTGTGGGTGACCATTGCTTTTGGGATGCTGTGGGCAGTGGTCCCTGAGGACTTCCTGCTTCCTGGCGCGGTGTCCTTTGGAGAGGGGTCTCGAGCACATCTCTGGCTGGTGCCTCGCTACGGGCACCGAGCAGTGGAGCACCCTGTCAGCCTGTGATTCACTGCCACAAACAGAACTCAGTCATAAAATCCATCACACCGTTGACGTTAGCCAGAAGTGTGCGCCAGCAGCGGGACGTTAGCGGTGCCGGGGAGGCGGGAAGGACCGTCAGGAACTTCATAGCTCAGCTGCTCAAGCTAACAGGCAGCTGTGGGCAGAAGGCAACGCTGCCTGTGTTCCTGCTCCACGCAGTGGTTAGCCTGGGGTCTCTCCAAAGACCCCCACCGCCTTGTGCAGCCCCGTGTGAAGGAGCCAGATGCTTGTTGCTTCTCCCTGTGGCTCCAGCTCGCCCCATTTCCCCATCACTCGTGCAGGTGGGATGCACTGCAAAGAGCTGGTAGCTTGCCTGGAGAAAGAAATGTGTCTCATGTAACGAGTGCCATGGAGTGTCAACTTAAAACGTGCCCTCCAGCAGCCCCGCGAGCACGCAGGAGGGCAGTGGGCAGCTCTCCAGTACTGCTGAGGGGCCAGCAGCTCTCGGGTGGGTGCTCTCGGGGAGAGCAGCATGTCCTGTCAAGGATCTGCTTGCTCCCTGGGGATGCTTTTGGACAAAAGGGCAGGGCCAGGGCATGGGGAGGAGAAATCCCAACTGGAAGCTGCTTGGAAGTTTGGTTTAGGGTGGGAACTCTTACATTTTTTGGCAGAGAGTCCCAGGGTTATGCTTCCAGCTGTTGCAAGGGAAGTTCTCTTGCTGGCCGTGTGGGTTCTACTGGCTCTTAAAAATCCAGGTGACCCCTGAGAGTGAGAAGGTTCAGTGATGACTGGAGGGACAGCGTGCTCCTGACACACAGGGTGACACACAGACTCTGTAAAAGATGCTTCCACAGAGGAGCCTGGCGGCCCCGTATCCGCTGTAGCCCATCAGTGCCTTAGGTGTTATGGTGTGATGATGTGCCTATGAAGTGTGCTATTGGTACACCTCCAGGTGATGATGATTTAATAAATGCAATTCCTGCCCAGACTTTCCAAAGCCAAACCGTTCCGTGCAGTGCATCCAGCAGGACTTTGTCTGGGCTGGTTTGAATCGCCTCCAGTGATGAGGCTGCTGGCATTTCCCCCGGGAGCCTTTACGAGGTGTCAGCATCGGGGAGATACTGCTGCTGCTCCACCTAGGAGTGACTTTTCCTGATGGGAAGGCAAAGCATCGGTTGATAAAAGATAAAATACAGAGGTAAACGTGTCGCTGGTGGTGTCGCTTAGCATATGATGGTTGTGGCTGGGAGTAAGCGATTGCCTCTGCAGACATGTGCTGTCCTAGCAGCGATATGTTTGCGATGTAGCTGGTCTTTAATGTGAGGCTCATTTACTTTAACAGTCAGGAACCTTGAAATAAAAGTCCCCAAGGATGGGTTGTTTGTGGAGCTTCAGGAAATGTTTCCTCCCGCGCCGTGGCAGCGGTACGCGCGGTGTCAGGTCTCGGGGCTGGCGGTGCCGTGCTGGTGGCAGTCGGGTTCGTTGGTGCTCCCCACTTTTCCCCGCTGATCCAGAGAGGATTAAACAGTGGCGTCTGTGGGGGCTGCAACCCCGCTCTGAGGATGCAAAAAAAGTTTGTAGACGCCCCTTGAAAAGCTGTTCCCTTTGGGTGGAGGCCAGACTCGGCTGCCGGCTCTGCTTGTGCCAGGGCACGGCTGCCAGGAGAGCATCGGGAGGTGGCAGGGGATGTCCCGGGGGGGCTCTGGCCCCGCTGGGGTTTGGTGGTCCCTTGGGTGCTGCGGTGCCACTGGGGGACCCCTGCCCATGGGCTTTTAGCATTCTTGTGGCTGTAGGCAGCGATGGCAAAAAGTGTTTGCGAGCAGCTCTGGTGATCGTGGCTGACAGCGGGAGGCTTGGCCCCCGTTAGTATTTCGACTTGTTTTTCAGGAGGGAGAACAGGACATGTTGGAGCTGCAAGGGCACTGCCGGTCAGAGGCTTTGCTGCTGCCGAGGGCTTTTTTTTTTTTCCTTCCTGCCAAGCTGGAGGAGAAGTCAGCTTTGAAACCAAAAGGGCTTGTCGTCAGGTTTTGCGTATGTATCACTGGAAGTTGTACCAGGAGATTAAAAATCAAAATTAATAGGTGCCATTAGGCAGCTTCCTTGATAAAAATGCACGTTGCACTGGTGGTGGTGTGGAAACCGGTCTGAATGCCGAGCCTTTTAGGATGCCCGGGACACGACTTGCATGTAGAGCAGCCACCTTTGGGTAACACTTACATGCCTGGATTTTGACATCACGGTTTTAAAAGAAAACAATGCGCGCGTAATGGCTGCATCTGTGTTTCAGAGACAGTTTTACATCCAAACTCTGCGCCACTTTGGGAAGTGGTGCAGAAGCACCGTGTGCTGCCCCGGGACGGGGAGCATCCCCCGGGGCACGGCGGCTTGCTCTGCCCCTCCGTCTCGCCCGGGGCCGCAGCGGTGGCCGGTCCCCGGCAGGATCTGGCACGGGAGAGGTGAGGAGGTGTGAAATGGGAGTCTTGTTTGAGAGGCCGGGCGTCCAAAGGTGGAATTAGCCTGGAGGTTCAGGACTGACTCTCTCGGGGGCTCCGGGGTGGCTCTGTGGTGGCAGCGGCAAGGGAAGGGACGTGGCAGGGCGTGGATCGGGCATGGCCTTGCTCTGGTGCTGCTTTGGCAGGTCCCGCTGGAGAAGGCCAAGGAGGAGCAGCCACTGATTCATCAGAACTCGAGTCCTCCGGGGACCCCCCCCTGCCCATCAGCCCCCAGCCCCAGCCCCGGCCCGGCGGGGTCGTGGCTGTGGCGATCCGCCGCCTCCTGAGCTGGTGGCCACCATCAATAAGATGGGGAATTACTGGTTTTAGTGATAATCCTGGTCTAATCCCCCAACCTTGATACACTCCCGCGTAATCCTCACTCACACTGATTTCGTTTGGGCTCCTTGTGGCAGTGGGGATTATTTGAGCGAGCAAAAGTTGCAGGATCAGGTCCTGTTGGTTTCAGATATGCTTTTTACTACCTGGAAAGTGTTCTCTTCAATGTAGGAAATGGTTTTCTGAGCACAATAGAGCAATTTTCATTTCAGGCGACACTGGCAGTTTTTGCTCTGGCTATCTGGTGATGTTAACTAAAGCACATTTCTACAACACACAAAGATTTTTGTTTTGTAAGAAATGAAATCAGCGTGGCTGTTCCTCTTTCTCTGTCATTTCTCTACTTGTCAATTCTTTCTTCCCCTCCAGCTTATCCTCCTCTTCTCCACTAGCCTTAAAAAGCCCCCAAAGTGTCTGTTATAATCA